CCTCAACCAAACTAATGACAGACATTCTAAATTCCAGCTCTTTCACATCTACTACTACTTATTCTGAGACTGAAAATATGGTGAGGTTACCTTAAGGTCCCAGGGGAGGAGGTGGGGGGCAGAATACTACTGCCAGAAAAACTAGAAAGGCAATTTGGCTCAAGCTTACAAATATTACCTTAAAAAGTTAAAATCCTCTAGAAAAGTAAATAAAGTTTAAATATTAATCTTTAAAATTAAGGTGAAAAAGGATCACCTGCCCACAGATTTTTAACTGCCTTATTCACATTTACTACTACAATGTCCACCTGCTCACCTATAAACACAGAATGTCAAAATACAAATTCATTGTGATGACAACATCGCCACAGATGGTCATGTGCTGAGAATCCAAAGTTACAGGATAAAATATTGGCAGTGACTCTGGGGGGAAGCTCACTTGCTTTGCATTCATTTTCAACATAAAGACCATTCCAGCCACGATGTAAATGTAAGAAAATATCTTCATCCTTTAAACACATATTTACTGTCTTATATTCTAGACTCTTAATACTTCACAAAATATACTTCAAAAAGTAAATGCATTTTTCCTAAGGAACTGATCATATCTAGAAAAATTAATCAGAATAGAAGAATCCTCTTTAGAAGTAGGTTGTAAGAGAAATGTGACAAAAAAAAATTAACTGATTTCTTACTTTTGTCACAAATTACACACTTATTACCACTGACAAGGACTCAATGATCAGTTCATTATCCTACTATGTGAATCTTCAAAAATAGGATTTATCTCCTAAATCCACCCCAAACCTGCCAAACATTTACTTGATCTATACTTACTTTTCATAAGTAATGCGAGGGGAAGTGTGTATTGATAACTATAAAGAGGCATACACAACTCCTTGAAGTTATCAGGGAAATTATCAGGGAAATTTTTTGATGCCTGTAACTATTAAAATATTTCCAATTTAACTGGCTAACCAAAACCCCTAACATCCAAATGCCTGGTCTTCAGCCTTCCTTGGTTATTGAAAACAGTTGTGTTTAAGGCATCTTTTTGGGTTTTTTTTTAAAGAATTTGTGTGTTTTTCCCCTGTATTTTGTCACTGGTTCAATGCTTCTATCCACAGAAAAAAATAACTGCCCAAGCCTCCAGCTTCTGAATATAACATCTGGTATGTGCACACATCAAAAAGCTTGAGAGAATGTCCTAGTTTTTATTTAAATTTTTTCATTTAAAATGAGAATGCCTTTAAGCAAAGATTAGACAAAAATCAGCTTTTACCTTATTAGGAGATTGCTATTTTCAACATTTACCTTAAACCACAACATGGATTTATCTTCTAACCAGTTAGCTTCCTGTCTCTCCCCAACTAGATTAAACTAACATTTTTGAAAGCAAAGGACTATTAGACCCCATGATCTGTTGCCCAGTTAATATATTTCAAAAGCTTTGTAAGTTTCCACAAAGATATAAGGATTGCTAGCCTTAAAGCTTTAAGGATTTCCCGAATACTTTATAGCTATTCTATTAAGAGCAGGTGTCCTTAGCTGTTACTATAGTTGTATACTAGTGGGTTCTCAAAGTGTGGTCCTGGACTCCTGAGAATTTCCAAGACTCTCATAGGGGGCATATGAGGTCAAATGATTCTCATAAATAATATTATAGTGTTACTTATATTTTTTATCCTCATTCTCTCACAAGCATGCATTAGTTTTCCAAATACTACATGATGTGTAATGTAACCAGAGACTGAATGCAAAAGCAGATATGAAAATCCAGCTGTCTCCTATTATGCTAGACAACAGAGTTGCAAAAATATAAAATAATGCTGCTTTTCCACTAAATTTTGTTTTGAAAAGATAGTTATTTTATGGAAACTATGGTTTATGTTAACAGATAATGGGTTATTTTTATTTCTAAGTTATTTAATAAATACACATTAAAAATTTTCCCTTTTAATTTCCGATACAGCAACTATCAATAGATGCTAGCCATACCAACAAAAGCTCTTTGGGTTCTCAAGGATTTTTAAGGGTAAAGGGATCCTGAGAACAAAAAGTTTGAGAACAGCTAAGGTACACAAGTACATAATCTAACAGACCGTGCCTTTCACAGATAAGCAGCTCAAGTTAACTCTGAAATATAATTACTTGTTAGACCCTCTAATCTTGTTGAGTAGTATGTCTCTTTGGAAAGCATAATTCATCATGAAGCCATTCTGTCCTAGGCCCTATTTAAGGGGCTTTAGATATTGACGTAAGATGTCCTGACCTATAATACTTCCTATTGTTTGAATAATTTCTTAACATTTTTCACAAAAATTGCCTTGTTCATCCTAACAGCAACCTGTGAAGTATTACTCTTTTTACAGATGATGTCGTCATGAAATTGATGCTTAAAAGGAAACAGAACTACTTGTCCAAGGATGTAGTGCTAACTAACAGGGCCTAGAATGTTCGTCTTTTGCAATTGCTTGGCTGCTTTAAAGCTGTTTTACTATGGTGTAATTCCAATGAAAACAGGGTAAGGGCATTACTTTTAATGCCAAAACAGGGATTTTTTTTTTTTTTTTTTTTTTTTTTTTGCTCGTTAATAAGAACAATCAGACACAATACAGGGTCATACCATTATTCAACACACGAGCTACCCTTTTGGAGAGAAAGGGAGGGAGGGAAGGAGGAAGGGAGGGAGGGAGGGATTGATTCAAGAGTGTTGGAGGATAAATACCAGAATATATAATCCTCCAAGATGATGAATTAGTTAAGGACTCACACACAGATAAGGACTCACAGATTACTAATCATTTAATCACTGAAACAACAGGCAGGTAAGAACAAGATCGAGCTCAATACAGTAACATTATATTAATGAATGGATGGATGCCAATAGGTCCAATTTACAGAATGGAATATGGACAGAAAAAAAAAATCCCCACATAAAGTTAAACTTGCTTTATTGGTCTACAAACCCAAGCCAGAGGCAAAGGTACCATCCTACCGTTGAACAAAAATCATCCCTCCCTTAGGGCTAGACATTCTTGTTACCAGCACAAGTCTCTAGTTATGCTCCATTTTAACCGACATTCCTCAAGAAATGCCCACTTTTCTGCATCTCTTTTCCACAGTCTGTCAAAGGCAAGACTGACTCACAAGAGGAAATCTGCCACTTGCATGTGCCCAGCGAGGCCATTTTAAAATTTGATGTGATTTTACCAGAAACACACACACACAGACACACACACACACACACACACACACACTCACACACACAGAAGTGCGCTAACTGTCCTGTAGTTTATTTTTCAACAGATGAGCAAGAGTAATTTCATCATTCTCATGAGGTATGCTTTTCCTAGTGTTTACTTTGGCCATTTCCCCCCCCCCCAAATCTCTTTTGGGGAAAAACGAAAAGTTATAGTATCACAGCTATAGCTACAATTTTAGCTTCTGCACCAACAATTTGTAAAGCAATTTGATGCACCTTATTTGTTGTTCCATACTCAACATTTACTGCAAAAGATGTATTCCTATGTAAGAGCTAATTTATACAAGTATCTGCACCCCTATAGAAGAATGGCAATACCACATTGTAAAGCCAATTAACCGGATGATCTTTAGAGGCTTCTTGCAGGAAGATGATGATGATAATAATAATAATAATAATAATAATAATAATAATCCGACTTTACAAAGGCAAGCAAAGCATCAAACCTCTGAGAGGTCCAGGGAACTGGGGCTATTTCTATTCCTTATCCTGGAGTGTATTTTTCTTTGTGGCGGTACCTGTGTTTTTTCTTTCCTCCAAGGGCATAATTACCATTTACGAAGAAACCTGTCAAAAGTGTTCAGGCAAGTCTCTAAACTACCTCCCCAGCTGCATGCAGCCCATCACGAGAAATGTCACACTTGCTAACATCGTTCCCATTGCTGTGTGCCTACATTTCCTCAAAGAAACGTTAAGGTTTTGGTTTTTTTTTGTAGGGCACCGTTCAAATGGTACTCTACAGCCCAAGCTACCACGAATCCTCTCAAATCTAATAAACAAAAGCCTCTAGCGGCAGCACCAGGGCCCTACCAGGAAGTAATCAAAGCCGTGCGATCCTAAGTCGCTACCACAGACAATAAGCGGGCACTGGGGTTTCCAACCGGCCGGCAGAAGGAGCCCATTCGCGTAAGCAACACAAAAGCATTGCCTGCACCTACTGACTGCTGTTATAGGGCACAAGCGCTGGGAATGCCAGCGCAATTGCAGACTACCAAAACGTCCCAAAGCCGGCCACCGGGCCGCCGCTCCGCCGCAGCTGCCGGGTCAGCCGGCAGGGCTCGCCAGCCCTCAGCTTGTTTTCAAACTTCACCCTCCCCGGAGGAGGGAAGACTCCGACCCCGGCCGCCCGGCGCGGGGCCCGAGCACCTCCCGCGGCTCCGAGCTCCCGCCCGCCCCGCACAGGTCGGGTTGCCCGAGGGCCAGCGGAGGGGAGCGGGGCTGGGGCGAGCGCGAAAGGCCGGGGCGCCCCGAAGCCCAGACAAAGCTGCGCCCCAAGAGCGGCGTTTCCCCGGCCGGCCGGCCGGGGACACGACGCCGCTCGGGCACCTCCACACGTGAGACCGCCCTGCGGGGGGCCGGACGCCCGCCACTACCGCCCCCGACCCGGCGACTCGGGGAGAGCACAGCCCCAGGGCGGGGCGGGGGCGCGGGCCGCGGGCCCGGCGACTCCCGGGCGGCGCGTCGCTGCCCCCACGCGCTCGCGGCCCCGGCGGGCTCCCGCCCCGCGCGGCCTCGGCCCTTCGCCGGCGCGACCGTCGGGCCGCGTAAAACAAAGGAGCGGCGGCCGCTCCGCCCGCCGCGCCCGCCTCACCGCACACCCTCCCCGGCCCCCGCGGCACCGGCTCGCCCTCACCCCTGTGGAGTCCGCGCGCCGGCCGCCCTCGGCCCCTAGACGGCAGGCCCGGCGGAGCCGGGGCCTCGGGTGCGCGGCGGGGCCGCCTGGGGCCGCACTCACCGCTGCAGCACCAAGACGACGGGGAGCCGTTGGGGAACTTGGCTGAGTCCGGAGCAATGCAGACGCTGGAGCTGAGGTGCGGACACTCCATGGCCACGAGGAGAGCCGCGAGGAGGGCCGAGGCTCGGGGTCCGGGCGAGGTGGGGGGCGGAGGGACTCCGAAGGCTCCGTCTGGGGTCGCTCCTCGCTGGGCGCTTCGGCCGACGGCGGCTGCGTCCCGAGCCCTTGCGTCAAAGAAAGCAAAGGCTTCCGGGCGCCGGGTTTTCTCGCCCGCCGTCTCCAGAAGCCCCGCTCCGGAGAACTGGACGCTCCGGGATCCGGGTTCTGTCGCCACCTTTTAGGCGGGGGCTTCCGTCTTCCCAGGCAGGCCACGCCCCCTCCACTGGGCAGGCCCCGCCCCCAACGCCCCGCCCCCGGCCACTCCGCGGGGTGGGGTCCTGCAGCGCTGGAGCTCCCCCGCGGTGTCCCGGAGTCCAGCCGCGCTCCTAAATGACTTTCTCAACTCCGCCGCCCGGGGCGGCCGCGGCTCCCCCGAACCCCTGGGCTCCAGGAGGAGGCACGCCGGTCAGGTCCGCTGCGTTCACCGCGGCCAGCGAGCACTCGCACTCACAAGACTGATCCTGCGTGGTGTGGGGTGGTCTGACTATACCGGGGTAGGAAATCTGGCCGTACAAGAAAGTGTGAAAGAGACCAAAAAGAAAAAGAAAGTGTGAGGGAGAAAAGAAAAAACGCTCGGGCCGACAAACACCGTGGCCCCCATTTTACACAAGATGACACAAGCTCAGGGTAAGAGCCTGCCCCCTCCCCGCGCGGCCCGGGAGGCTGCAGAGCAGAATTGAGTGGTGTTCTCCCGGCGGCGCAGGTGCGATCCTGACCGGGTTCTAGGTTCTGACCACGTGGGCTGAGCCAGGCACCTGGGTGCTGCGTGACGGGACCCGCTGGGGCGCCCACGAACCTGAGTTCAAACCCTGTCGTTGTGACTCACCTTGTGCATTACCTCCAGCACGTGGTAGGACTTGCATACACCTCACCCTATACTGGGCGTTTGAGAGATGCCTAATGGGGGCTTGCTGAGCGCGAGGTCCGGGTAGCCAGCCGATAAAAAAAGACGAGGGATCTAACATTTGTTAGACACCTACTCCCGTCTCCCAACCAGGCACTTTACACACAATACCTCACTTAAACCTCTCACCACCCTGCAAGCTGCAGTTAGCATCCCCCTTTTTTCCGCGGGGAGGAGGTGGGAGGGAGAGAGACTGAGTCTACCTGTAATTGGTTAAGGCATGTGGGGATAGAATCCTCGACTCAGAGCGGATAGGGGAAAGCTGCAAGGGGCCTTTTGAGCAGGCGTTAACCCAGGCGAGCCTGTGATCTCTCTGGGACAAGGCCTTGAGGACTCTGGGGCTATTACAAATACTGACTCGAAACTGGAGCTCCTTGTAAAGCCCGGCGAAGGAACAGCAAGGCCAGGAAGCGAACAGAAGGAGGAGGAGGAGGAGGAGGAGGAGGAGGAGGAGGAGGAGGAGGAGGAGGAGGAGGAGGAGGAGGAGGATGTGGCAATCCTGCGGGCAGAACGAGAAGAGGAAGGTCAGGAAATGATTAACCGGGCTGGGCCGGGTAGTGGTTAGAACAGGGTACCTCCCTGCAGAGCAGGAGCAGCTGAGGGACGACCTCTCGGTCACCTCTCACGCCTCACCACCCCACCCCACCCCCTCCACCCTCTGGTGCCTCAGCACCATTCGATTTGTGCCTAACTGTCCACTCCCCGGGGGCGTCTGTGCTGACCCTGTCTGCCAGTACTATTTCCGATTCCTAAGTCCACTTTCCACGTTTTGATTATTGTTTGCCTTCCAAGTTTTGATTACTATTATAGAGCAAGCTTTGGTCTTGGGAGTTTATGACAGTAAAGCGTTGGGAAAAGTACAGCTTTAGTTCTCCCAAGCCTTTTTCTTTTCTTATCTGTAAAACTGGGACAGTAATACTTATTTAGCAAGAAGGATGTGAGAGTTCGTGTGAATTGCTACCACGTGGTGAGTAGCAAGTAAATTACAGCTTTTAAAAGTATAGGAGGTGAGGGAACAATTCTTAGGAAAGAAGATGATAAATAAAAATGACCTTTGCTCAACTCTCCAGCCCTCTCCTATCAACTGATTTTTCCCCCAAAGGTCTGGCTGGACCAACTTCTGTCTCCCTCTGGACACCTACCTCCATTTAGAATCCATACCCCCACCTTTAGCCAAGGAGGATGCCCTGACCCATGCTGTCTTTCATATGGGCATTCAATGTTTCTTTTTCCACCCTCTCAGGGACTCGGTTTCCTTATTCTCTAGACTTCATCTTAAACATTAGGGAGGCCTTCTGTACCTCTAGGTACACCTCCAGATGTGTAATGCCCTGCCTGCCCCCACACTCAGCCTTTTTAAAAACACTCTTCATGCATATAATTGTTCAATGTCTGCCTTCCCCCTGGAGTTCCATAAGGATAGCAAACAAGTCTGTCTGGTTTCCTGTTGTATTCCTAACATAACAGGTCCAATAAACGTGTTCAGTAACAAGTGAGTGATCAGTTAGCAGTGTCTTCCATGGGCAAGAGTTTAGGAAGTGGCACAACACATGCCAGGCATTTGCCCCCACCAAGATGATCTCTAAATTTCCTTTAGCTTTGAATGTATGATTTTGACGTCATCGGGAATGTGAAAGTACCTTGTAAGGTGTGAACTGCTAAAAAAAAAAAAATAGATTTTAAAAAATAAGGAAAAGAAAAAAAAATTTTTTTTTATTAGAATTCTCTCCCCAGCTAGAATAAAAACCTCTGGGGCCCTAATTTAGTCATTGACTGCGGTAGTCCCCAGAGGCAGTCCTGAGAAGCCGGGCAAAGCCGGAGGCCCTCCTGGGGCTTCAGCTAGGTTTCCTGAAGCACAGGGAACTTTCCTGTGTCTCTGAAAGTTTTCTTAAGAAATTTAAAGAAAAACTCAGGGTGAGTAAATGTGTCAAATGGGGGAAGACCACGGGGCACACTGGGAAACCGGCATTTTTAGTTCTGTGTTTCTTTGGCTACATTTAATACACGTTTGCTTTTTTGTTCTTGGCCAGAATCGCTTTGGCACTGAGGAGCTCTGACATACATGCCAGTAGCCCTGACGGTGTGAGCCAGCTCCAGCTCCGGTGCTCCTAATGCTTGGCCTGGGGGTCACCAGCCAGCCCTCTGCAGCCACACACACACACCACACACACCACACACACACACACACACACACATCACACACACACACACTACACACACACACACACATCACACACACCACACACACACACCAGCCCTCTGCAGCCACACACACACACACCACACACACCACACACACACACACACACACACATCACACACACACACACTACACACACACACACACATCACACACACCACACACACACACCAGCCCTCTGCAGCCACACACACACACACCACACACACACACACACACACACACACACACACATCACACACACTCACCAGCCCTCTGCAGCCACACACACACACCACACACACACACACACACACACACATCACACACACCACACACACACACCAGCCCTCTGCAGCCACACAAACCACACACACACACACACACACACACACACACACATCACACACACTCACCAGCCCTCTGCAGCCACACACACACACCACACACACACACACACCACACACACACACACACACACACACACATCACACACACCACACACACACCACACACACACACACACACACACACACACACATCACACACACCACACACACACACCAGCCCTCTGCAGCCACACACACCACACACACACACACACCAGCCCTCTGCAGCCACACACACACACATACACACACACACCAGCCCTCTGCAGCCACACAAACCACACACACACACACACACACATCACACACACCACACACACACACCAGCCCTCAGCAGACACACACACACCACACACACACACACACCACACACACACCAGCCCTCTGCAGCCACACACACCACACACACACATACACACATCACACACACCACACACACACACTAGCCCTTAGCAGACACACACACCACACACACACACACACACACACACACACACCCCACACACACACTAGCCCTCAGCAGACACACACACCACACACACACCACACACACACACACACACACACCACACACACACCAGCTCTCAGCAGCCACACACCACACACACCACACACACACACACCAGCCCTCAGCAGACACACACACACACCACACACACCCACACACACACATCACACACACCACACACACACACTAGCCCTCAGCAGACACACACACCACACACACACACACACACACACCACACACACACACTAGCCCTCAGCAGACACACCACACACACACACACACACACCAGCCCTCAGCAGCCACACACCACACACACCACACACACACACACACACACCACACACACACACCAGCCCTCAGCAGACACACACACACACCACACACACCCACACACACAGACATACCAGCCCTCTGTAGCCACACACACACACACACCAGCCCTCTGCAGCCACACACACCACACACACACACACACACCACACACACACACCAGCCCTCAGCAGACACACACACACACCACACACACCCACACACACAGACATACCAGCCCTCTTTAGCCACACACACACACACCAGCCCTCTGCAGCCACACACCACACACACACACACACACCACACACACACCAGCCCTCTGCAGACACACACACACAACACACACACACACCGCACACACACACACACACCACACACACACACCAGCCCTCAGCAGCCACACACACACACCACACGCACACACCGCACACACACACACACCAGCCCTCAGCAGCCACACACACACACCACACACACACACCATACACACACACACATACCAGCCCTCTGCAGTCACACACACACCACACACACACACACCACACACACCAACCCTCAGCAGCCACACACACACCACACACACACACACACACCAGCCCTCAGCAGACACACACCACGCACACTCACATACCAGCTCTCTGTAGCCACACACACACCACACACACACACCACACACACCACACACACACCAGCCCTCTGCAGCCACACACACACACACACACACACACACACACACACACCAGCCCTCTGCAGCCACACACACACCACACACACACACACACCCCAGCCCTCTGCAGCCACACACACCACACACACACACACACACACACCAGCCCTCTGCAGCCACACACACACA